ACCCGGACAGTCGAGCAAGTAAAGTCTCCTTAGGACTCTCAAGCCGATGAGCCGGCCATTGCGCCAATTTTTTGACAAAGACGGGTCTTTGCCAAGTCTCTTTGTGAGAGCAATGTACTGCCACACTCGAGTCTCTCCAGGAACCGGTGCTGCCTTGCATACCTTTTTCCTCTTCAATGTATTGATCACCGATGACTTACCTCAGAGCAGAAACGGCATTCAATGTACAATAGCTGCATAGAATGAAACATAAAGCCAATCAATGACCAGTATGCCCACGTTGGGGTAGCCAATCATGCCAATGGTCACGTGTTTCTTCTCCTCGGACGGGGGCTGGCGATTCCATGTTCACAAGTCCGACCTCCATGACTCCCACTTCCCGTCCTTGAGAAGATTCCCAAACTGGCGCAGCAAGTTCAGCAAGGAGTTCTTTCCAAAAGGATTGGTGATCGAGGCATGGAACGCCAAGGTGGGGAACTCTTTCATGAGCTCCTGGATCCATCGCCTGGTGGCCCAGGTCGGCACCAAGTCGACTTTGTTCACCAACAGCACCACGTGCTTCTGTCGGCTGCGCAGCTCGCCTCAACCCCTCAACCCCTCAACCCCTCAACCCCTCAACCCCTCAACCCCTCAACCCCTCAACCCCTCAACCCCTCAACCCCTCAACCCCTCAACCCCTCAACCCCTCAACCCGCACATGTGGCAACTCCTCTCTCTTCAATTTATCTTTCTCTCTTCTTTCATTTCATTTCATTTCTTTCATTTCTCTCGTTGTTCTCTCTCACTCCATTTGTTCTCAGCTCAGTTCGCGAGTGCCGCTGAGCTGCGCTCCAGCTGCTGACAGCGGGTTCCCATGGGATCGCGCGCGTCAAGCACAAAGACCAACACGTCTGACGCATCCACCACCTGACTCCGCTGACTCTCCCTTTCAAGCCAGTTCTAAATTGGTTTCAACTCTCACACTCACACCCACTCACACTGCTTCATTTCGCATTTATCTTCATTTCGCATTTCTCATTTCTTCTCATTTCTCTGTGCCTTGTAGAGCTCTGCCCAGATTCTTCGCGACGTGCCCTTGTTGAAGATCTCCTCTCCGGCGTGGCCCGAGAAGTCCTCGGTCTTCTCCATGCCTGCGGCATCCACCAGGGCCGCCGCGTCTGTGCCGTAGCCCTCCGCTTTTTTGTCCGCAGCCTGAGAAAACAGCAACCTTCCCGGCTTCTCGACCTCTCGACCTCTCGACCTCTGGGCTTCCAACGACACGCTTCTTGGAATTTCAAGAAACACGCTTGATTCATTGATGTTTCTTGCCTCGCATTTTGCAGAACACGCGGTGCAACTGTCTCTACCATGGTTCAAGTCGTGTGAACGCTAAAACAGGGCTCCCCAGATCTGCCTTTGGGTTCTATACTGACGATTTTGACATCACATCTTGGCTGCTCAAAACGAATTGCCGGGAGGAAAATGTGAGGATGCAAAGCAATGCAAAGGATTGAAGCAATATAAATCTCCCCAAGAGCTCTGCAAGGGGCACTGAGAATGTGCAATTTGCTGCAAAGTTAGCTACTGGTTTTAAACAGATTTCCTTCTGGTCCCCTTTGCCTGGATTAAAGAATGGATTAGATTGTTTGAGCTTGCTTCTGGCGCAGCTGCGCTAAGTGAAGCTAAGTCAGAACTCATACCGTCCGCACGTATTCCAAGCTTCAAAGCCAGAGGGGCACAGTGAAATGTTTCGACCGGAATTGCAAAATGCTGAAATGCCTCTCGTAGGCTTTCCAGGTCCGTCGCAGCGATTTTGGCTCGCTTCTGCTGGCGCTTCTTGCTGAAGACCTGCACTCGGCCCTCTCGGCCCTCTCGGCCCTCTCGACACTCGGCCACTCGGCCACTCGGCTTGCCAGACCTCCTTGTACGGAGCCACGGAAAGGAGATCCATCCGGGAGGCTTTCTCGGTTTCGCCTCACGTGATCACTCCGTCTCACGTGACACTCCGTGATCCGTGTTCACCAAGCTGCGGAGCAGGGACATGGGCAGTTTCGAGCTCTTGAGTACCACAGAGAAAGGATCCTCCACCCCTTTAGCGATGGTCTCCTCGGGCAAAAGAAACATACGCGGCTCTTGAGAAAAGAAACACGACACGCAAAACACGCAAGACACGCAAGACATATGGCACATGCGATCCGAGTGGCCCTGAAGGCCTGCATCTTCTGCTGCGCAATGACGCGGGTATTGCCAAACCAGCGCCGGTCCGGCTGGATGCGCACCGGCTTCAACGACTGCTCCTTCATTCGCTGCCTGTCTGGCTTGGAGTTGTAGAGCTGAAGCCGCTTAATGGTGCCTAACGCGAAACGCGGCACTCGAATCCGCTCGAATCCGCTCGAATCCGCTCGAATCCGCTCGAATTCGAGTGGCAAGTGGATTTGCCGAGGAGCTCTCGCTGCGCATGTGGGAGCCCGCTTTGCGGACACGCGTTTCCCCCTTGGGTGTGGTTCTTCCCGGCTTGGATGAGGCATTGGAGTGCTTCAAGGCAGAGCCTGAAAAGGAAAGACAGACGCACAGAAAAAGGAAAGGAAGGTGTAGAAACTGAACAAAAGATAACAAAAGACACGGAGAAACACGTGTGCCTGGTCGCAATGCACCCTGGCCCTTCTTCTTGCCGCGGTTGGCTGCACCAGTCGTCGCTTTCCTTTTTCCCACCGTTGGCTTCGGCATGGCACGGGAGGCGCGAGTGCTCGGGCCGGGCCTCTCCGATCCAGTCGGATACCGTCGGATACCGTCGGAGACCGTCGGTGACCGGTCAGATCCGGTCGGTCGAGCTTGAGCCTCGCTTGCCACTTCGCACATGGCACGCCTTCGCACGCCTCACGCCTTCGCACGCTCCCCTTTCCCCCTTTCTGCCTGGCCTTTCCCAAAAGCCACTTGCAATGGCTGTGACAAGGCATTTTGCCCTGTCAGCGCCTCAGACCTCAAATAGAAGCCGGAGACAGAAATTGTGATTTGACTCATTGGAATTTTGGGGCTTGGCCTTGAACTGCTCGGTACTCATCGGTGCCTGACGTCCCAACCCCGTAACCCAACTCACAGCCAAAGTTTCTCACCGGCGACGAAACACTCGATTGCCTGCATCCTCAGGGCGGCGAAGGCCGAGGTCCTGATCCGTGCCTCGCACGCGGCCGCCCGTCCAGAAATTTAAGAAGGGAACACAAATGAAAAAATGAACAATAACAAGCAAGATGAAGTGAAATCATCGGTGTCTCTTGAAATCCCTCTCTCTTTCTCTCTGGCCAAAAGGAGCGGTAGCCATCCGCAGCTCTGGAGCATACCGGCCTTGCCAAAGCTGTGACTTCAACTCAAAACCTGCCATCTGTTTCTCCATGTCTGATACATCTGAAACCTGAGACCTTTTTGAAAACGGGAGCTCTGTCGGAGCCGCGAGTCTCCCAGTTCTCGCCCAAGGCCGGCTCTGACGTCGCTGGACCGACCAAATGGTGCTGACTCAGACGCTGAGAGTCCAGGTCCGTACAAGCGCCTATCACGTCACGGCACGCGTGACACGTTTTGGCACGTGGCGCTCGTGCACACGCTGCACACGCCTCCCGGGTCGCTCTGCAGCTTCCTTTTGCGAGATGCGGCTGGTGCTCTCGGAAACAAGACCTACTTGCATCGAGCGCGGCTTACCTGGACTCCTTCTGCTGGCCAGTGGAGGAAAGTTTGGCCTGCCAAACACAAACTGTCACAAACTCACATACCGTTTCTTCAGTCAATGTTTCCAATTGGCGAAGGAGAAACTCCCTCCAAACGCGCTCCTGAGCTGGCCGCCACGTGCCGGCGCCCCAATGGGCCTTGTGCTTCCTGAGCGATTCTCAATGCGCAATCAGTCGTCATTCTCATCGTTCTCATGCTCTCTCCCTTCGCATGGGCACCTCCCGGGAGGGCGCGTGGTTCCAGCCGAGGATATCCCGGCCTTCGACTTCGCAACAACTTCGACAAACTTCGACAACTTCGACAACTTCGACTCGCGCGTTCAACTCTCACATCTCTCACATCTCACACATCTCACACTCGCGCCTGGGAGTCGCTCCGCATGAGACGGCTGCGCCTATCGGGACTCAGCAAAAAAAGTTGTCACGGGCATGTGACGTGTCCGGTTGCCCTCATCCTTGGCCTCCCCCGTAGCATAGGGCGGCTCTACCTGCAAATCATTGAAAACCGAATGTCAGTGATTTTCGGAATGACGTCAGCGATTCGTTGTCCGTTGCCTGACGCCGCCGGGAACTTTCAGTCGCCTGGGACGCCTGGGACCTCCGCAAAGACCGACAAAGTCGAAAAGGAACGGGCACGAAGCCGAGAAAAAGAAGAAAGTGAGAAACACATAAGACTCTCTAAGACTCTCTAAGACTGCAAACATCTGCCATGCAACACGCTGACTGGGCCCGGCTGGACATCCCATGTGGCGAAGGGCGCCGAGGAGCTGGCGGGACCTCAGGGCGATCTGTATTTCCATTTCGTAGCGTTTCTCGTCGTTTCTCGTCGTTTCGTTCCTTTCGTTAAAATTTCCATCTCCTGATCTTTTCGTTCGAAACTTCAAATTCAAACTCACGGCGCACTGCGCGGGGCAAACATTGCTTCGCTGCGAGGCGTCGCACCTGGCCAAGGCCACACCCCGGCCGTGCGCGACGCTAAGGCCGCTAAGGCCCAAGACTGCGGTACCCGCTGGACACGGACCTCTCGCCAAAGTCTGTGCCCCACCATTTGAATTTGCATCTCACTCCAAATTTGCTTCTCACTCCAAAATATATGGCCCGCTCCATTTCGGCATTGCGCTCAGCTCCAGACCGTGGGGTGGCGGGCCTGTCCTGCACGCACCCGGATCCATCGATCCGATGTGAGGTCCCTGTCCTGCCGCAGCATCAGCCGCGCGAAGTCTTGGAACCGCACGGAGCTGTCACCCCTGAAGCAAATTGTTAGACAGTCTAGACATCCAGTTCCGTGCAAAGAAATGTGTGAGAATGAACATAGCAGAGAAAGCAAAAGCAAAGATGGACAGAATAACACACGCACAGATCCACTGACACCAAAAGCCTTGCCTTGACGGCTCTGACGGCTCTGACGGCTCTGACGGCTCTGACGGCTCTGACGGCTCTGACGGCTCTGACGGCTCTGACGGCTCTGACGGCTCTGACGGCTCTGGGCTCGTTTTTGGTTCAGGCTCGGGCTCTGAGTGCCGCGCTCATGGGTGCGGATCATCTTGTCGAGGTCTGGGGTCAGCGCCACGCCGAAGCCTCAGATGGAAAACATGTTAACAGTCAAGAGAATCCAAGAGAATCTAAGAGAATCGAAGCAAAACATAATCCAATGAGAATCCTCCAGAAGGCCAAAGCCAAAAGCAAGCGCTGAATGCTCACGTTTTTGGCAAACACGCTACTTTGTCCAACGCCTTTGAACATGGACCCGAGGCCAAAGCGCTGCAGCTGAGAGCGGAAGGTGACCTAAGGGCTACTTGGAGTCAGGAACCTTCCAACCGATTCCAACCTTCCTCTAGCTCTCTGCGGACACGAGTCTCAGTCCGCTTCCGCATTTCTTTACGGATACGCTTCCCCTTCTCTTGACATCAGGCTCACGCGAGCCAACCCTTCACAGCCCTTCACTTTGAAGCCATCCGAAACCGAGGATTCCACTGCTGGAATGTGGCCATCCACAAAGTCGCAGATCGCCTCGCGCGCACACTCCGGAAGTTCGCGCGAGGCGCGCCCAGCGGCCTGCCGCAAAGATGTCGGGTTCGCCCTCGGTTTCAGATCCCGAACGCCTTCCAGCCAGACTCGAAACCTGACTCTATCAAAAATAAGCCTTATATATCCGCCGACTCCTTGCAAAGAGTGAGGCATATATCCATCTTGAAAGTGGCGTTAGACATTGCTTGTGATAGGGGGATGCAACTATAATAGCTGTCATGATACGTGTGATGACAATTATTATCAGACATCGTTGCGACGCATGGCGCCGTTGAGGATTCAGGGCATGCTATGATGATAGATATCATCATAATCATGATGACCATTGTCATCATCAAGCATTAGTGGAACGAAGGCAGAAGTCCATCATTGCTTGGGACGTGGGGGGTGCAATGAGCATCATCATCAAGCATCGTTGTGACGTCAGGCATCGCCTGCATCCCCGTAACTACTACTGGAGTGTGTAAGAAAAAAATGAAGGAGATGATGACGACTATGATGGGATCCGTTTTGGGGCCGCTAATCATTGATGTCGACAACCATCGTCATAGCATTCTCCGCATCGCAAGTCTGACGTAACCATTGAAATGCGCAAAAAAATGAGATGATGACGACCTTGACGGGATCCGTTTTTTGGACCCATCATTCGTGGTGATAATTATCATCACAGCATCCCCTGCATCCCAAGAGACGACTGAAATGTGTAAATAAGAAAAGGACTGGGTGATGACTATGATGGAATCCGTTTTGGGACCGCTATGACTCATCACCGGTGGTGATAATTATCAGCATAGCATCCCCTGCATCCCAAACGATGTCTGACATAACTATTTGTTAAACAAGAAAAGAAGGAGATTATGACGACTATGACCGGAGATGTTTGGGGACATTCTGGCTATCATCATAGCCTCCCCTGCATCCCAAGCAATATCTAATGTCATTTTTGAAATGTGCAAGCAAGAAAAGAAGGAGACGATGGCAACTATGATGGGATCCGTTCTGGGACCGCTATGACTCATTCTTTACTGATGATGAAATAAGAACAGAAAAATATAATGATCACCATGATGGATCCGTTTTGGGACCACTATGATGAGTCTCGCCGGCTCTACTGGCATGGGTGGCAAAGTCTTAATGAATCATCTGCGCAAGTCTGCCAACATTGTGAAAGGAGCCCGCTTCTGGCAACATCCTTCTAAAATGTCTCGCAACCTCCCCTACATAAGCAGCAGGCGCGAGTTTGGAGGGGGGGGTTGCTTTGGTTTGTGTTCCTACAAACACTAGTGGCGTTCTAATATCTTGAGGGATTGAGAGTTTCGCAGCGCGCCACTGTCAAAGTATGTTAGTTCATCTGATGGAATCACATGGACTGTTTACTGGCATGGCTTGTATGGAATTCCTAGCGCCTTTCCAAGTTGCTTCACACGTGCCCGAGGCCGGGGCAAGTCACTTGGGCGCGGCTGAAAGCACCTGGATCCGTCCGGATCAATGCATCTCGATCGGAAAGAGAGCCAGGCATTTCTTGACGATCAGACTGGGATGTGCTGCCAGCGCCTCTCTGCAAAACATGGCACCAGCCCGACGAACCCAGAAGAAACACGGCCCTGCCTGTCACCTGAAGCGAAGATACAAGCAGTTCTGTTTCTTCCATTGCCTTCGTATGCTCTGAGCGTGCAACTGGCACATTGCCTGGAGCAGTCTCTGGATGCACCCCGTGCCTGGGCAGTCGCGGCTGGAACAAGCCTATCCTCGCTACAGCCTATCTCGAGCAACTGGCGCATTCCTCGCTCTTCGACCATCGTTCGCGTCGATTTGCAACGCATACATCAATTTGCCTAGCACATTTGCGCAAGCGTGCAGGATCGTGGCGCAAGCTTGGCAACATTGACGTGTTGCCATCTGTTCGAGCTTGTTCTCATCTCGGAGCTGCAACAAAGCCCAATCGCGCCGGCCGGGCTGAAAGGCATCGATCGGGCCGGGCCGTACCTGTGTCCAATGGTTCAAAAATGTTCAAAAGAATAGACTGAGTCGGCACGTCAAAAGCAAACCAATGAATCGAATCTATCGAAAACCTGGCAAGCCGGCGCGATGAGCAGTCGGTCAAGCTCCGCAGTCAGCGGGGCGCCGCAACCTATGGAAAACAAGCGTGATGGCAAAACGCGATTGAGCCCCCTGTTGTCCGCCTTTCTTAACCCTTTCCTCCCAACTTTTCACCATTTGCGAGATCAGAACAATTGCCCCATCAGCCGGGACGCGGGGTTCATGTGTTTGCGTTTGCTACACCAATAATTTCTGAGTTGAGCTCGACGCGACACCAAAAGCGTGCCGCACGCATGCCGCTAGCGATAGCAAGTCGGCAAGTCTTGGCTGGTTTCCTGCGCGACTAGGTGTGCGCCTCACTCACAAACACAAACCAAACTAAAAAAACACAAACTATAATAATACAATTATACTGTATATACATGTATACATGTATATACTGTATATACTGACCTCGGCCGGCAATGCGAAGCCTAAAGCAACCACATAAGACACACCCACAGGAAAGTAGCGCACCCTCAAAACGAACCGAGCAGTCCAAGTTTGTGCACCGAGAGTCGCCCAAAGGTGAGGTTCCCGCGTGGCAAACTCGTCAAATCGCAACAGCTATTGCAACCGGGCAGTTCCGAGGGGCGCAAAGGCATCGGCGAAGCCGGCGTGGCCACTGCTGAAGTACGCTACTTACTCCATGCCTAGCATCGCCAGGGCGAAGGACCAGTCAATCCGTAAACACATTGAGTACACAGAGTGAGGACCAAGGACAGTGTCCTCCCCACTCAATTGGCGGCCTAAATAAAGGAGTCAGCCCAATGAGACGCTAACTGACCTCTTTCTAAACTACCCGTTCATCCCACCTTCACGTGCTTAACCTTCTCTCCCCCTTGCTCCTGACGATTTTTTGTCTAGCCTTTCACCCTCTTTCTTCAACTTGTTGGTTTACCGTCTCCCTACGCTTTCTTCGCCTTTACGCTTTTCGGCCCTGCCGTCTCCCTTTCTTGACCCTTGTCTTCTGACACATTTTGTTCGGCCGCGTTCCTCCTCTTTCCGAACCCTTCAACATTTTCGCCACCTTTTCTTGACTTCCCCCTCGCCCCAGATTCTTTCCCCCCTTTGACGCCCTTCTTCAGCGTGCGTGGTTTCCAACCCCCTTTCTACCCTTTCGCCCCCCTCCCTTCCTGCGTTCTTCCAACAAATCCGCCGAGGTTTTTGGGTCGCCGGCGTTTCCTGCAACTTCTTCAAGTTGGCAACTGATTTTTCCAAAGCTGAGACTTAAGGGGTGCAAGTCGCTTCCAGCGTTCTCTGCATGCGATCCTGTTGAGCTTGAAGTGGGTTTTGCAGCTTGGTGTGATGTGGTGACGGCTTACTTGCAAGTGCTAGCAGTGCGCACATCAAAGCGCGGCACGCGTTAGCTTTCCCCTCTCGTTTCTTCTCCCTTTCCGCCTTTCCGCTTGCCGACCCGTTCTCTTTTGGTCCTCGCTCCGGCCTCGCAGGCCGTCCTTGAACTGCTGGTTGGAGATCCGCCCGCGCTCCCAGAGAGAGAAGACCTCAAGAGAAAACCGACAGAGACCGGAGGCATGCCGATCGGCCTTGCGGATGTCCACCGTCCGCGCCAGCAGAAACCTAAGTCCATCCGAGTCGAGGCCGAGTCAATTGACTTCTGACGCACCCATTGGGCTCCCCTTTGGAAGTGCCAACATCCGAAGCCTGGCGAGAGAAAAGTCCAAAAGCCGAAGCGCAAAGAAGTGCCTCGGAGGGATAGATGGTAGTCTTCATCGTGCCTCAAAGACATCTGCGAATTGCAAATGTGCTGCCAATCTGCGAAAAACCAGCACCTCTACGGCCTCTACGTTTTGCCTTTGGCTAAACCAACCGGGCTCTCGAGGGACTCTTGGCGCATCGCTCTGCTTTGCGCGAGGCTGGTCTGGCGACATCATGTGGCGTAACTCCTGGCCGATGTGCCGATGCGCCGATTCGCCGAGGCACGCGAAAGAGCGTTTTTCTCCACAGTTAGCACTCGGTCTTGTAAGGGACTTGGGCTTCTCGTGGCTAGACTTAGCGACTTAGGGCGAGATGGACAATGGTCGATGGCAAATAGTTGAGGAGTCAACATCGCGTCGTTTGTACGAGCGCACGGGCAGAGCATTGTCTATGTGACACATCCCTAGCTGTGAATGCCCTGCAACCGATGAATACATCAGCGATAAATTGCTTTAGACATTTAGGAACTGACATGGGCCCGTTTGAGCCGGTCCTCCCGGAGGCACTCAGGAAAAGAAAGGATGGCTACGATGGCTACGCAAAATGTAGCGTAGCGAAAACACAAATTGTGCATCTCGGATGAAACCGGGGATGGATGGCCCGGCAATAGAAACGCGCAGTTCCAATGAACTCGGATTGCGAGGCAAGGTATCACAGCATCTTTCCAGCCCCTTCCCAAACCATTGAACTCCATAGCGGGATGTCTTGGGAAAAGGGTGTGTTGCATGCAACCCATGCTGTTGGCTCAGGGTGCGCACGCAGCGCGGGAGGAGCAAGCGACGCCGAAAGTGCTATTAACTGTACCTGAATAATCATGGACAGCCTTTTGCTGACCCACTCAATACAAAGATAAGCATTTAACAGGCGTCAGTGCGTACAGCTCACCGCTAGCAATTCACAATTGGTCGTCGCGTAGCTGCTCTATGTCCGCCGACATTGCGGAGGCGTGTCGGACACCTAAGAGAAGATAGAGGATAACCCCCCCCCCCAAACTCCCCCCGCCCGACGTCTGATACGTGGGGCAGGGGGGGGGTGGCAGGGAAGATTAGGTCCTATGTGGCGTGCGCGCGCGGGATGATTGTTTCCCCCAAAGTGGTACGCGCGCGGGGGGGATGTTTCCCTCACTCATGATACACACACACACATGCGCACACACACACACGCGCACGCACGCACGCGCGCAAGCACGCACGAACGCACGCACGCAAACACAAGCATGTCAAACTACATGCTCCACTTCCTGCATTTGTGTTGCATGTGACTGCAGGCCTTGAGCTCACTACATCGCATGTGTAAAAGGTGGATTGCTGCAGACTACAATCGGTTGACTGTTTGTTTGAACACTACAGCACTTGCACTTGTAAGCAAAGTAACCACCGATTTTAACGTGGTAGCGGAGCTGAGATCCTAAACATAGGGGAGCTCCAGTAAGCAGTAAGTACTACAACCACAGCAACAGCAGTCACATGCCAAACTACTACGACATGTCAGGAGAAGCAGCATCAGCCTCAGCACAACAAACTACAGGAGCAGAGAACGGGCCAACAGCAGACACAGTAGGAGCCACAACTACGGGAGCAGGAACAGAACAAGACAACGACGTTCAGAGACTACATAGATACAAACTGCCACCACCCTTCTTCACTGGTGACTACTCCCAGTATGAAGAATGGCTGTTCAAGCTACAAGCATACCTCGGCCTCATAGACCGAGACTTCGACCTGGTGCTACAACTAGCACAAGTGGCTACACGACAGATTGAGGACACAGACATAAAAGCCCACATACGCGACCCTACACAAGCAACAAAAGCAGTAGACCTCTCACGAGATCTACACTACATCCTCATCAACATCTGTCAGGGAGCAGCAGCTACAGTAGTAAGGCAAAACCGCTACAACGCAAACGGATGTGAAACACTACGACTACTACACAACAGGTTCAGCCTACCAGTAGGAACAAGGAGCGTTGGTTACCTTACCAAACTACTGGAACCCACATTCAACGAAGCGCAGTTTGAAGAACAATTTCTACAATGGGAATACGACATCAACCGCTACGAGAAAGACAATGGAACAGCACTACCAGATGGAATCAATATAGCAATACTACTCAACAAAACCAAAGGAGCACTGCAGCAACATCTCCAACTGCGAGCTGGACAGATCACGAACTACATCGAGATCAGAGCACTCATCTTGGACTACTACAAGACGATTTCAGCCTTCACTAGATCTACTTCAGCAGTAGGAACAAACTACAATGGAGGAGCTGCACCAATGGATGTTGACAACATATGGAGGAAAGGAAGAAACTATAAAGGCAAAGGAAAAGGAAAAGGCAGCTACAAAGGAAGCAAGAGCAAAGGCAAATACAGGAGTAAAGGGCACTACAAAGGATTCGACAAAGGCAGCAAAGGAAACTACAACAAAGGAGGATACAACAAGAGCAAAGGAAAAGGCGACTCAAGATCCAAAGGATATGGATCAAGCAAAGGCTACAAAGGCCAAGGAAACTACAGACATCAAAAGGAAAAGGAAGCAACAACTACACAACATGCCATCGATGTGGCAAGCCTGGCTACTGGGCACAAGACTGCAGAGTGCCGGTATGGCACATAGGAGAAGGAGAAGAACTACATCCACTAGAACAAGAACAGACAGATCATGACAACCATAAAGAACTACCTCAGGATGTAAACGACACTTGGGACTGGTACTACGAAGGAGAAGAAGGACAACACGAGGTGAACTACATGGAGGAGAACTGGAACGACTACGACTATGACAACAGCTGGGATTGGAATGACAACAGCTATGAGGACACAGCAAACTACATTGGAGGCATCAACGAGTCACACCTTACCGTTGGACACATCAGACAAGCAAACTCACGACTACACAAGCACAAATCCAAATCACTACTTGGTAAGAGAACAACACATACAACATCATGGAACGACCACAGCAAGAGCTT